ATACATTAGCTAAAATTTTGCTTTTTGCAAAGCACAGAAAATGCAGTACACATTATTTTAGAACTGGAAAATTAAACTTTCCTAAAACCATAAAGGAAAATTAACAAAAAAATCATATAAAACCATTACTTATAGAACACTTCTATAAGTAATACTCATCTGCGTAAAATAATGTAAGCAATTTGATTCCTGAATAGTCAGAAATTGCATTACGTTTCATATAAGCCCTGAAAACATAAATATTTTTTTAGTTATGAAGTTATTCAGAGCCCAAGGCCTTTATGTTTTTGAAATATGCTTAACCTTAGCATCAAAATCAAGGCAAAATGAAACTGGATCCCTGAATAGAATGGTCACTCACTGCCCAAAGAGACACTTGTTAACATATGTAGAACTGTTCTTACATCTTGAGAATACGGCAGTACAGGTGATAATCACAATTTAAATGTGTAAACTGTGAAATTTAAGTTCCTGAATAGTCAAAAGGACAGATCACTTCAGAGCTACCTTAGCATCCCTTTCTGAACCACTGTCCTGACAGCAATCCTGAACTGTCCATTTAATCTAGGCACTGAAATTAGGCCATGTTAATATCTTCCTCTATACCTAAACCACTACTGAAAATGAACCTTAGTAATTTAAGCCCATGTTAACCACCTGGTCTGCCACAACAGAGGGACAGACTACTTGAACAGCATGCCATGCTTGATGAAGAGGTGGTTCAGCCAGCCAGGTTTGCAGTTCCAATAAGAAGGTCACATTTTAGCTTAATTTTTACTTACTGAGTCTCCAAGACTCAATAAAATTGATTGTTCTAGATGGGTACTACAAAATGTATCATATAAATGAACAAATTCATTCCACCCCCCTAACATTACTGAAAATAAGTAATTGCAAAGAGAACTAGCATATACATGTGAGAAAAGGACTGGCACTTTATCTACAAAGAAGCAGCTATAATCAATAAGTTCATCATTTAGTAACAATGATTACTGTATAAGAGACACTATAAACCTAGGTTTCAGCACATGATGACTTTACTTTTTAAAATTTATACTAAACTATTGAAAGATCTTTCAATAAAGACAGTTATAACGTATGCATGCAAAACTAGAGATAAGTTTTTAAATGCTAAAACATGAAACAATAATAATATTAGTAATTTTGCATCTTCAAAGTCATTTTATTTTATCTGAATGGAAAAATATGTGGAGATACATTGTAGATACCAGCAGTACCTACAGATGCACACATTTCAGAAGAAAGCAGAAATCAGATAATACAAGAAGTTCTAGACTCAAATTTCTTTAAAATGATAAAGTGTGAGACATGTCAGCAGTGTGTTAATGTCACTGCTTCACCCCAAGGGCTCACTTATAGTTGCAATTTTTCTTTAAGCACCCCCAGCTATTGGAGATTGATTTAAATCAGTTCTCCGTTCTGGGGCACATGTGCATGCAGTGAGATTTTAATGATCCTTTAATGATCATTTATAAACCTAACAAATGAGTTCTACATTCATATGACTTCAAAAATCAGTTACCAAACATTTTGGGAAGGAATCGTTATTTTTTCCTTCCATACCAATTTTCTATAATAAATCAATGATGAAGTTTCAAAATAGCTTACATGTAATTAACAATTGTTTTAATCGCATCACTTTCCTAACATTAGAGAAGCAGTGAGTCTGCAGCACATTCAAGACTCAATCTTTACTTTCTGATTGCTTGCTTATACTCCTGCATTGCTTACATACATTGCCTTTCGCTGGTTACACTTCCTTTTTAAACAGGAAAGCCTTGAAAATGTCACAACAATAGCAGATCAAACACTGAATAACATTAAAATGGGTTTTTAACACAGCATAAAACCCTGAGGTTTTTGTGAGACCTTGCTTTTCCTAGGGGTCACAGAAGCAGATTACTCAATGACAACAGCAGAAGCTATTGCTACTATGATTCTGAATGACACAGGCAGAAAAGCAGGATGCTTCCTGTAGCATACTATTTCTTGGTGGTGTTGCTGAAGACCCAGCAAAGACTGAAGCTATTGGATGTATATAAACCACAATATCTTTTATGTGAGGAGTTACAAAGTCACAGCAAGGTTGTCAGAACTTCAGATTGTAAATCTCTAATCTAAAATTCTTACACCCTCATCTAATTCTTACACCCTGGTCTACATATTAGGAAAAGTATCTACAATTCTACCAAGACACTATAAGCACTCCCTTTAAATCCACAAACTATTTTATAGCTTTCATATGCTTATTCTAAGACAGATCAGTTGTGGCATGAACAGATGTAGTGACCTCACACATATCCAGCTAGCTTGGATATCAGTAACACCACAAATTCCAACTGCTAGGTAATTACCAGGGTGCAGCCTGTTCTGAGGACTGCTATCATAGTTTCTGTTACCGGGAGCTAAATCAGCTCCAAGGAAGCTATTTGTAGCTATGCTGCAATCACACACATTGGCTTCACTGCAACCCTGATGACACTCCATTTATGTATATTGTTCCATTACAATCTTGCATTTTGTGTTGGCTCTTTCATGGTAATGCCCTTCTACAGAACTTGGTGCCCAGAGAATGAAGTTACCACTATACATCATCTTCAATGATACACACCCTAACCCGATGCACTAATTAATTGAAGCACACATACATACCGTGACCATTTACAGACATCAAAATCTTCCATTCATAGTTAAGTCAATGCAATAATACGTTTTGGTCATGACTGAACAAATCAGTATCACTAATACTGAGAAGCAATCAAGTCTGCCAGACCTGATCCTTGCTGCATCCCAGCTTACACACAGAAACAGTTCTTTCACCCATCTATACCCAGGCATACAGATACAATCATACCTGCTTCTTACAGGCATCATTCACTCACTCAGCCCAAACTTCCTACTTCTTCAGCTACCCAACCTGTCAATATGCTGCTAACACATCTTCATAGAGCTTTGCATTTTTCCTGCCTCCAGGTTAATAATTTTGTTCACTCCAATTGTATCAGTTCCTCTCTCAAATCCAGTTTCTTATTTCTACTTCTGTCCTTTCTGCCACTTGCTGGCAGAAATCTACAGTAAGTGGGTTAGTACAATTTCTTTCATTAACTTCATTCATTTTATTTTGGCAGTTTCTAAAGCTTCCAGGATAGAAACAAGGCCCCAGCTACACCAATCACTATACAAATCAGCCACAGAAAGACAAACCCTATCCTAAAGAGATTACAGGCTGTATTTAAAATAAACAGAAATTAAATGGTCATGAAAGGAATTTGGGATGAAAAAAGAATATATAGCTAACGCTTTTTTGTTTAACTTACTAGTTTCATCCTGCATCTACATGCCTTTTGTTAGCATACTTTCATTTATGAAAGTAGTACCTATGGTACTACATTTCTCTTGGCCATTAGAGTGGTATATAAATGTCCCTATTTACCTTTTTAAAACCACATACAGCACCTTTCAAGATTCAAATGGAACTACAAAAGAGCTGTTTATATTCTATTTTAAGACTCCCGGCCCCCAGTAGTTTAAACTGCTTTGGTCAAGCACATAATCTCTTCTGTTGTCTCAATGAAACAACTGAGAATGTTAAGAAGTCATAGATCCAGATTTGTTTCCTACGCTGATAAGGATTGCCAGGGATTCCAGCAAATGTAAATGATGTTAGTTAGCATTTTAACAGTCTGCCATAAACAACACCTGCTGAAAAGCAAGGTGGATTTCAATAAGCACTAACCTGGCAGACGTTTTGCAAGTGGAAATCTTCCATTTTACGCCTATCCTCTACCCAAGTATGAATTTAACATAACAAAAAGCCTGCTGGGCGGAGCTATTGGATCTTAATGTCCCATCAGCTCAAGGGCTGAGTAGTCTCTTTGTATTAGTTGGCAATTTCTTGTAGGCTCAGAATTTACTGCCATTATTCTATGCCATGGCACAGCAACACCAGAGAAATGAACTGCGGCTAACCGAACTGACCAGCCAGCACAATTAAAATCACCAACCTTACAAAGTATCTACATGAGCCATGCTGGTTTATATAAAAGGCATGACAGTCTGGCCTCCCTTGGGTGAAAGCTGTCTGGCAACTTTGTTTCTGCAAACTTCTGTCTATCTCCTGAGTAAAAAATAATTACAAAAGATTAGAATACATGACAATACATACCTCTGTACTCTGCCAGCCCTTCCAGCTAATGTTATGCCTATTCCTCACAATATTAGTACTGGGATGAACAAATAGATTATTACTAGTGTAAGACAGTAATAAGGAAAACAGCATTTGAGCAGATGACCATACCTCTAATGTGCAGAACAGTCCTATGCATGCAGAGTGTAGTTTGGTCTGTTGAAATACAGTTGGAATACCTCCAAGCACAATGAGGTTCTTTGCGTAGGAGAGCAATGTAAAAACAGTTCTGGTGTTACGTATGAGCTATCCTCACCAATGTGTTTCTTTAATCTGTTCTATAACTCATCTGAATAAGGTAAAAAGTTTCTGGGAAACAAATCATCATTTTCTACATGTCATATGTGTCATAATTGCACAGAACAAAAAAAAAAAAGTGAGGAAAGAACAGCAGAGGCCTCCTTCCACTCTACAACCACTTCTTTTATACCATGCTCCTTCAAGATGAGAACTCTTCATGAACCATTTGCAACTCTGAACCTTCCAGAGCCACTACTGTATTCTACTTCGCAGAACATACAGAAAACCCTGAAATCTCAGATCTGAATTAAAACTGAAAGCCTTGCACAGGGATAGCTTTGAAATGAAGGTAACTCAGTAGCAATACAAATCTCATTCTCCAGAATTCTGGCAAAGAACATATTCAGCCTTAGGGGCGCCTAAACAGTTGCCATTTTCAAAGCATTATAGCCTCAGGATATGGAATACAGATCGTTTACAAATATGTTCTAACGAAATTGCATCAAAATTATTTAGGAAGTAATATTATGGTAGGTAGTTTTGGAAAGCTTACCAACTCTGGTTTCTTTCAAGCCACAGATCATACGCTAAATCCATCTGCTGTTTCTCTGTGAGACAGACTCACAAAGCTGCAAGCATGACTGGAAAAAAAGAAATTCGTAATTCAGTATCTACTACTCCTTCCCCCGATAAACATATTCTATTTACCCACCCACACTACCAAACCATTTAACAGATATGGTGGTAAAACATAAAAAAAAATTGTGAAGCAGTTTTATCTTTAGCAAATTCTGTGAACTATATTTCGAATGTATTTGTCCCCCAAAACGTGTCTAGCTTTCTTGTGATGTTCCTATATATTGCTTACAAGCTTTACACCACCAATAACAAAAACATTATGTTCACCATGTAAACCACTAGCAGATACAAAGCGGAGTCTTTAGGTCTATTATGCAAGTCAGACTACGCTCAGGACAAGAGAGAAGTTAGTAATTGCATTTGTTACTTATTAAAATCCTATTGCTAGCAGCTTGCAAGATCATTTTACTTGCATACAATTGCACAAAACTTTTTTACTGTTATAGGACACTATTCCATGCCCTCGTTTATTATTACCAAAAAAATTCTTTGCATTACTGTAGTCCTTTAACTACATATAACTCACTTTTGTTACAAAGAAGAAAATAGAGTGTAATATGAAGCCCTAAAACCGATCATTTTTTTTTCCTTATACTTCTTGCAAAAAATTTGTTACTTCTTCATGCCCATTATTTATCTTTTTTTTCACTTGACAACACGGGGTGTAGCTGTTTGCACAGTTGGTAGCAACTCTGAAGCCTGCCAATAACAGTCACTATCATGAAAGAAAAGGAACACTTTAAACAAAATCTCACCGAATTGTATTTTCAGAAAATTTCATTTGCTGCTAAACAATAAATCTCTCGTAATAGCACTAGGAAAAGTAAAGCAACTCACACTGTAAGAGCACTTGTATTTTTGCCTCCAGCTGCTCCCACTTTTCTTTCTCATCCATCCTTCCTCATAACAAATTGCTCCTTTCTACAAAGGACTCGACTTCCCAAAATGTAAAATCATGAGTATAACAGACAATTTTTTTTTTTTTTTTTTTTTTTTTAGGAAATACAAGATTTTCTACCTGGGGGTGAGGGAAGAAGATGGGGGCAGATAAGGGAGAGCGGGTATGCCCACACGGTAGCAACTACTGATCCCACAAGGTTAGTTCACTGGCTGCGAGTACCACGTTGGGGGAAATCGTTGAGACTTTTTATCCCATTTTTGACACTGCGCTTTTCACCTTCACCTGATGCACCTAACTCGTGCTACTTAATCTTGTACAGCGTTAATTTACCTCACAAAAGGCACCAGGCCCTCTGCCTTCCACACGTTTTCCACTCTCCCCAGCGACCCGCCCGCTCACCACAGGTTTTCACTGGCCCCCCTCCACTCCCGTCAGAGCGGGCCCCGTTCGCCCCCGCAGCACGTGGCACTCCCCGCCTGCCACACGGCGCCTCGCAGCACAGGTGAGGCGCGGGCTCTGCCCCTCTCCCGCGGGCCTGCCCCCCCTGGGCTAGCCAGCCCCTCCCGCTGCTCTCCCGCCCTCGCTATCTTCCCTCACGCCCTCTCCCGGCCGCCGGTCACCGCGCGGCTCCTGATCCGCGCCTCCTCCCTGACGGACGTTCTGCTCCGCCAATTACCGGCCTCCCGCGGGAGCGTCTCCTCCTGCAGCCAATGAGACGGCGGAGCAGCCTCTGGGGCCCAACCCCTCTAATCTGTAACGGCCTGCAAAGCACCAAGCCCCGCCCCTCCTTCCTCTTCCCGACTCTTCATTGAATGAAGACCCCTCTAGCCAACCAGAAGTTTCCGCTGGGCTTAAAGGACTGCTCCGCTCTCCAATAGAAGTAGAGAATCGCACCGCGTCCGCCAATAGGCTGCCGGATGCGAGCTTAGGGGGCGGGCTCTCCCTCCCAGGCGGGCGGGGAAGGCCGTGGTTATCGATCCCGCTGCTGGAGGGAGGCGGCGGTGAAGCAGCAGAGAAAATGGCGGCCATGGCTGCGGAGGCGGCAGCAACTGCAGCGGTGCCGGGCGATGGGGGGGCCGGCGAAGCGGAGCCCGAGATGGAGCCTATCCCGGGCAGCGAGGCCGGCGCGGACCCTCTCCCTGCCGTCACTGAGGCCGTGGAGTCGGTGGTGCCTGATGGGGAGGAGGCCGACGGGGGAAAGGCTGCTCCCGGCGAGGCCGAGGAGCCGCCGCCTGTGCAGCGAGCCCGGAGCCCCGCCGGGACTCGGGAGCCGGAAGCTGAGAGGACGGAGAAGCTGCCGCTCTCCACCCCAGATGTGGACTCGCCCCAGGCCGAGCACCGGGGAGCGCCGAGCCCGGAGTCCGAGGAGGAGCCGCAGCCCTGCCCGCCGCCTGCTGGGCACCCCGAACTTCCCGAGGAGGAGCCGCAGCCCTGCCCGCCGGCTACTGGGGGCTCCGCGGAGCCGGAGCCCGGGGAGGAGCCGTCCCGGCCGGAGGAGGAGGAGCCGGATGCTGCTGATGCCGCCGCTGTCGAGCCCAAGTCCCCGGTGTCCGTGGCTCCGGCCGGAGGGGAGGCGGAGGCTCCGCTGCTGCCTGGCTCCGAGGTGCGGGTCACCCTGGATCACATCATCGAGGATGCCCTGGTGGTCTCGTTTCGGCTGGGAGAGAAGCTTTTTTCCGGGGTCCTCATGGACCTCTCTAAAAGGTGAGAGCTCACTGGGGAGCCGTCCTGAGCCCCCACCCACCGGCGGGGCCAGCGAGCGAGCTCGGGGCCGCCTGACCGCTCTGCTCTGCGCCTTTCCTGCCCGGGGGGGGCCCTCCCCCGAGGCCCGCGTGGGCTCGCCCTGCGGCGGTAGTGGCTTGAGCAGGGGCCCAGGGGCACGATGGTAGCCTCCCGCTCTCCCTTTCCATCCAGGGTCCACCTGGGAGCACAGCGGCTCCTGCCCCCGCGTCCTCCCCGGGGAGCAGAGACAGCAGCCCACGGGCATCCTCCTCGACCCTTCTAGCAGAGGACAGAGGGAGCGCGGACAGGCTGGCAGGTTCCCCTTGCTCCCCGCCCGCCTCCGGCCTTAAAGCGCGGAACGGGCAGCGGGCTCTGCCGGCTTGCGAGCGATGCCGGCGGCTGTCCCGTGGGTACCTGCCTCACCGTGCTGTCCTTGACAAAAGTAGTCCCGAGTGGGAATGAGAAAAGGGGGGAGCCGGAAGAGTGGCGAGCACATGGTCACTCCCTTTCAATTGGGTTGAGATTAACGTAGGGCATCCAGCTTCCCTGTCTGCCAGGGAAAGAGGACCTGAACTACAGATGCTGGCTTTTATTCCAGCCTTTCTACAACCGTAAAGACCTAGAGATCTGATTGACTCGTGCCTTGTATTGCCTTGGTAACCTTATTTTTCAGTACATACTATTTTTCAGAATAATGGTTTTCAAGCAGGCTATTACAGCCATGAAGTACAGTCATTAGTACTGATTGCCCCTTGTATGCAATGAATGAGGTGGAGTTTAAAAGGTTCTTAAATACCCTTTTTTGGGGAGGCCTGTTGTGTATCACAAAATAACCTAAAGCCTTGTCAGAATGTAAGGTTTAGGGGTTGCGTTTTTTCATTGCCTTCCTATAGGAAGGAGTTCTTGGGAGGCCAGAAGTCATCATTGACACTGTATATCTTATAACTACTCTAACTACCATGTACAGGTAAAAATAACTTTCTGGTTTAGTGTTTCTTTTCTAGACATATAAAGACTAGGCAAGTGCATAAGAGAAAAGTGAAATCTGACCAGAGTTGTTATTTAGAATAATTGGTATGCAAAAAATGCAGAGCTTTGGTTTTTTTTTTTTTCCCCCCAAAATTTTAAGCTTTGTATGTGGTCATATGCCTTTTACAACTCCCTTTTACATTACTAGTAGCTGTTTAATAACTTGCTGTGACATCAATATTGTCAGTGCTTTCTAAAAAGAAAGGTATTGAGCTTCACACTTGCCCTGGACCTCGCTTCTTGATTTTTGAAACAGAAGGCCTTTTCTGAAACCCACGTTCTGGATAATGTTATGGAAGCAAGTTTTTAAATTCGTCAGTAGTTGCGGTTTGAAATGCTAAGTTACCTGTTTATCTTTTGAAGCCAAGTAGTAAAATGTGTTCTGTAAACTGTACTCGCTTCTAGTGTGAAATCTGAAATGTCTCAGAGCAGGCCAGAAGGCATTACAGCTGAAGTTGTAATGCTACTTAACATCGATTCTTTTGTAGGTCTGAAGTTATATCAGCACATTGCATTGTTGCTCTGGTTAGCAGAGTGACAAAGCGCATGCTTCTGTACTTCTGTGAGTCTGTATATATGAAGAAGGAAAATATCAGCTTCTCCCTTCTGAAAGACATCATATCTTACTAAACATGCATTGACCACAAGCATCTCATTCGCCTGAGGTTTTCTTCTGCATGAGAAAAGGAACTTCAGTGCACATCTACTGCAGCCCTGTACAGCGAAGGTCATCTGTAGCAGGCAAAATGTGGGCATTTACATTGTGGCTGCAGTGGAAGCACGCATCTCAAAGCCCCTGTTTTTAAGCACAGGCCCTGAGGCAAGTCTTCACAGTAACAACTGTGGAAGAGTGATACATGAAGGCTTGTGCTGTTACTTGCAGATTCTCCTTTGCAGTGCACTTCCTCCTTTCTCTCCATTCATATGATATGTGTCTTCTTTCAGAGGTGCTTGTGGCATGGGAATCCAAAAGGTGAAATTTAAATTCTAAAAGCCAAGCTCTTCAGTGTGCCTGGACAAGAATTGAATTTCAAAACGTAGGGTCCACAGTATTTGCCTGATGACAGGTAAATATAAGTAGATGAATAGAAGTCTCTGTTCAGGTGTCCCAGGGCAGGAAATGAAGTGGTAAGCAAACTCTAGAAATAAACCAAGAGCTTGCTACCTGTAAGAAAAGTGAAGCACTGTCAGAAAACAGGTGGTCCCAAGATTTAAATGAGTACTCAAGACATAAATTTTATTCTAGACTTTATAACTTTGTTGATAAGTGACTGAATGATAGTACAGTTTAGATATCAGCTTTTCTTTTTTTTTTTTTTTTGTGTAGCAGCTTGTAGAACATTAGTTTTTCATGAACTTCCTTCTGGATCTGTGGCAGGCCCTGGAATTCTTATAACTAAGTTTTTCCACTGGACCAAAAAAGAAAGCCATCTTCACTAGCTCACTCAAGTACAGGGGAATAATCTTACTGATCTCTTTTGCATTAGAAAAGTTTGTATCTTAAACCTGCCAGTTCTTATTAAGTAAAAGTAAAACTTTGTATTAGAATTTACTCAGTAGCTTTAGAAAGTGGCTGACATGTTCACTGCACATGCAGATACTGTTT